GTGGGAGTCCAGCGACATAGCCATTATGCTAACTGCTGGTTCCAAGATGGTACCGAGAATTTTAGACATTAAAACTCGAAAGCAATGAGAGCACAAGGAAAGTTACAAGAAGGAATGTATGGTAAAGTGACACCTGGAATGATTCTCAAATATAACAACTAAATCATCCAATATGTGAGTTTACCTATCTGTGCCTCTGTTCTCAGTAATAACCAAGCCAGAGATAAATAGTGATTCCTCAAACTGGAAAAGTCTCTTGAATGTGTGGGTATATAATCAACATCAGTACTATACGCTTGTAAGTCTGATGTTAAAGGCTATGTTTTTAAACTTTTTGTTTGCTGGGAAGGGACTACTGTATTCTGGGAATCTGGAGAGCTATTAACTCAATACTCACAAAATAGCAACTAGGGGGTAGCAGGGGGTGTGGTGGTTGAGGTGCTGGACTCCCACATGGCTGACCACAGTTCTGAGTCCTAGGACCTGGCACTTGCTTTCTTACTCTCTCTTTCTGTCTCTTTGTTATGTGTGCATATGCCCTATAGCAAATTAAAATAATTAAAATAAGTAAAATTAAACAAACCTTAAAAAAAATGTTATCTGAGTAATAATTTACACACAGATCTCCAAAAAATCCATGCCAGGAACCCAGGTTAAGAACCCTTGTCCTGGGACTAGCAGATGGTGTAATGGCTACATCGCTGGACTACCACATAGCTGACTGTGGTTTGAGTCCTGGATCAGGCAGCTTAAAACTCATGCCAGGTACATGTGTGTGGGTGCGCAAAATCCCAAGAGGAGAATGGATAAGTGACTGAGACGTGGCCATGCCCTCTGTGCGTGATTTCTTGTTTTCTGACTTGTATGCATGCCCTATAGCAAAAATCTCTCAAAAAAAGAGCCCTTGTCCTACAGGTGGTTGAGAATTCCTGTAGGATTCTGAATAAAGACATGTCGTGAATACTGAAGAGCATAAAGGCTATTTTTCTTTCTTTTTTTTAAAATTATTTAACTTAATTATTATTGTTTTAATTTGACCAGAGAAAGTGAGAAAGCAAGTGGCTAGGTCTGAGACTTAAACTGTGGTCAGCCATGTGGGAGTCCAACGTCTTTAACAACCACGCCACCTGCTGGCCCCATAGACTATTTTTAGGGCATTAGGGTTAACGTGTAATAATCTAGCATTTCCTTATATTTATTCTACTATATTCAGTCTATTTTAAAGGAGTATTTACTCCAAGTAGTCTCACTGAGAATTTTCCACTTTTTACAGATATAAGAATCTTTTGGGGCCAGCAGGTGGTGTGGTGGTTAAAGGCACTGGATTCCTACATGGCTGGCCACGGTTCAAATCTTGGTGGCTTGCTTTCATGCTTTCCCTTTCTCTCTCTTTTTCTGTCTCTGGTCAAATGGAAAAATAATAACAACAAATGGAATTAAACAAATAAATAAATCTAAAAAAAAAAAAAAAAAAAAAAAAATGGAGGTTTTGGCCTTAAGGCATTTATGCTCATGAGGGAGAGAGAGACAGAGACAGAGACAGCGAAACAGAAAGTGAGAAATCACCCTCAGGAGTATGGGCAGGTTGTAGTCCCTTCTCCTTCATTCTCTTCCTGGGATCTTGGGCATGCACATACATGTGCCAGGCATGAGTTTCAAGTCACCCGGTCTGGGACTTGAACCATAGTCATCCATGTAGGAGTCCAGCAGTAACTGTTATGCCATCTAATGGCCCCCAGATAGATATAAGATTTAAAGTAGGGGCCAGTCTGCAGCTTGGTGGTTGAAGCAGCTGGATTCCACATGGCTGACTATGCAATTCAGGTCCTGGACCTGGCAGCTTAAGACATATGCCAGGCACTTGTGTGTACATGCTCAAGATCCTAAAAGAAAGGAGAAATGGAGGAGAAAGAATTGCAGTGTGTTCATGCCCCACGGGGCGGGTGTGTGTTTTCTTGCTTTCTCTCTCTGGCTTTCTCCAGTCAGCACGTGCCTTCTGGCAAATTAAAAAAATAAACAAACAAAAAGACTTGAAATAAATTTTGTCCTCATTGTAGGCCAACAGGCGTGGTGGTTAAGGATACTGAACTCCCACATGGCTAACTGTGGTTTGAGTCCTGGACCTTTTGGCTTACTTTCTCACTTCCTGTCTCTGTCTCTCCCTAGTCAAATTTAAATAAATAAATAAAGTTAAATAAAAAATAATTTAAAAAAGTTATTAGAAAATAGTGAGATATGAAAGACAGACAATAAATTGTAACTGATGCTGCTGAAGCAAGAGGCTAGAATAAGAGAAAAAGATAAAACTTGCACCAGCTCTTTGGTGGTTAAGGGAGCCAGGTTCCACATCAACAATGGTGTGGTTTAAATCTCAGCAGGTTGGAAAACACCGTGGACAGGTTGGAAAAATGGAAAAGGAATTGTGCTGTGACCACACCCCACTGGGGGTGCTTTTCTGATTTTCTCTCTCTCTGGTAAATATATATACCTTCTGGCAAATTAAAAAAATAATAATAAAAAGGAAAATATTTATAGACTAACAAAAAAAGAGAAAGGAATATACTCTTCCAGAAAAGTTTTAATACAAAATTATCAAATGAAGTTTTTAAATAATAAAAGAAGCTGGGGCCACCAGCAGAATGGTTACGTTGTTGGACTTCCACATGGCCGACCGTTATTCAAGTCCCAGACCTGGAGGCTTCAAACTCACATCAATCAGGCGCATGTGTGCGTGTGCCCAAGGTCCCAGGAGAACAGAGAAGAGGGAATGTGGTATGGCCATCCCTCTTGGGAGTGATTTCTTGCTTTCTATTTGTCTCTCTGGTGAGTGCATGTGCCCTATAGCAAAAATCTCTCCCCGCCCCACCCCCAAAAATAAATAAATAAAAGAGGCTTATAGAGATCCACACAAAAATGGAAAGTTTGAAGAAAAAAAAAAAAAAAAGGAAAGTTTATCTGCAAGGAAAAAGGCTGGAATGGGCCAGCCGGTCGAATGGAGGCTAAGGTGCCAGATCACACATGGCCAGCACTATGGTTCAAGTCCTGATTCCCTAAGCCGGGGAATGTACATTTGTGCCAAAAGTCCTGAGATGAGAGTGGAAGAGATGGGACTGCAGTGTGGCAGTCCCCCCAGGAGGTGATTTCTCACTCCCCCCCCCCTCTGGAAAGTCCATGCACCCTATAGCAAAACCTTAAAAACAAACCAACAAACAACAACAACAAAACCAAAAAAAAAAAAAACCAGGCTGGACTAAGATTTCACTGCAATATTCAGTGTGAGAGGACAACAGAGCTGTGTGGCCTGTTTATCCAGAACAGATTGCTGAATTCACTCAAATGCTGTATTTTTGCCTACGACTCACAGAGTTCTAAGAGGCATAATGAGATGAGAATTTCATACCTAGTCATGTTGTTATTCATGGCCAAAGTACACAGTAAGCAGAAGCTCAAATACATACAGTTGATTTTTGCATAAAATTGAGGGTTCAGGGAAAGTAAGAAATTGTGTTTAATATTCACAAAAGGGAGTGCATGCACTTGCATGAGAGTGGGAAGGCACTCTCCATAAGGTCTTGTCCTACTGCAATCCCCTTTTCCCAGCTGACCAGGATCTTGGCCATACTCATGTGTATGTGGTATCCATTAGAGCAACTGGGGCTCTGAACAGTGCTTGGCCATGAAGATTCTAAAACTGTGGTATAGTACTCTATTGATATCACTACTGGAACTGGTCTGGTCTGGGTTTGTTGCTGTTGTTTTTGGTTTCAAGTTTGCTATAGAGCATATGAGCTTGCCAGAGAGAAAGAGAGAGAGAGAGAGAGAGAAATCACCCCCTAGAGGAGATGGCCATGCTGTAATCCCTTCTCCATTCTCCTCTTGGGATTTTTGGGCACAAGGCACATGGGCCTGGTGTTTTTCAAGCTGCGATTTCGGAACTTGAACCATGCTGTAGT